ATGTCAGTTGACTCCAAAGACATGACTGTCAGTCTGAAATCCTCATTCAAACAGTAACTCTCTAATTCCGCGTTATTTTTTTCCATGACGAAAAAGTCAAGTGCTATTTAGAATGGTCAGCTACAAACTTACCTACTTCGATGGACGAGGAGCTGCTGAGATTATTCGTCAGGTATGTCTCTCCTGAAGTCGCTGGCCCTGCCTCTCCGGAAAGCCTCTGGCCTAAACTGGCTTCCAGTCACTGTTCTTCACTAGATAATTTCATTTCCAGGTGTTCGTTCTCGCGAAGCCAAAATTTCACAGACGTTCGTATGAGCCACGAAGAATGGCCGAAGCACAAAGCTTGTGGGTGTTAAGCTGTAAAAGGTTCCAGAGAATAGAGAGAAGGAGGGACTTTTCTCATTGATAACTCCAATGTTCAGCAATGCCCTTCGGACAGCTACCGGTTCTCGAAGTTGACGGAAAGCAGCTACCTCAATCCTATGCTATCGTTCGCTACTTGGCCAGAAAATTCGGTAGGAATCAGTCAACCTGTTGATTTACCCAGGTATTCGAATACCTTTTACCTCGTAAGGTTTCGCGGGCAAGAGCGATTGGGATGAAGCACAGGTCGATGCGATTGCTGACCAGTTCAAGGATTTCCTCAACGATGTTCGCCCATACTTCAAAATCGTTATGGGAATGGACAAGGGCGATCTGGTGAGTTCACTGAATTGAGCCCAGTCTTCGTTAAAAAGAACCTTTTTCTTATAGGAAACTGCGGCAAAGGAAATTTTCGAGCCTGCACGTCAAAAATATTTCGAACAGTTCACAAAGATCCTCAAGCAGAACAAGTCTGGTGTGTTTTCAATTATCAAGTAAAATGAATTACGTATTAGACAAATTACCGCCTATAGGCTACTTCTGGATCAAAAACTAACTACCGTGGCTAGTAATTGGCTTATTCGTGCACTGATTGCTCCTGCAAGTTGTGGCATAGATCATATCGCCTAGAAAATGCTGCTACGACTTGCAAGATTGTGGGGTGCACGGCGCCTCCCATATCCCTTGGGTTTACCCACCGTAATTCTTTTTCACCTGAGCGTTGAGTAACTTGAAGGCTGAACCCACCTCAACCAAAAATCCATTAAAAGGCACATTCTGTGGCGTTTGTGAACTTCAAGCTTTGTGACCTCAGCTGATCCTTCGCTGTGCCTTTAGGGTACATTCCACGCTGAGCACATGGGTGGAGTCACCTAAACCATTGCGCTTTTCCACTATATAATTTTATCCATTAAATGAACAGATTCGGTTATTGCTCAGTTCCGCCCATGGTGGCATGTGCAGTGTCTTACGGAGCGTCGGTGGCGCCAGCCTATTTCCATCAATGACTGTCCGCCCCATGGTGGCAACGACTGAGAAAAGCGGTTATGGGGCTGTTCGTCAGTGGCAAAGTGCTCATCGCTATGCGAGGGCCGGCAGGCATGTTATTTTCAGGCATCATGACGCAGTCCAGTAGTTGGAGGGAGAAGGTAAAGGAGGAGGGATCAGAGAAGGAAGGAAGGAAAAGAAGGAAGGAGGAAGAAAAAAGGAAAGAGAGGAGAGGCTTCTCGGTTGACAAGTGCCCTGAGACGGATAAAGCGGCTTATCGCCGCGCTTAACCATACGCGCGGAGGAACGGTGACATCTTGAACTTTTTTGCAGGGTCCTGTTACGAAACTCACTGACGGATAGAGGGCAGCTGCTGCTAAAGCAACGAAACGTGCAAAAAACGTATGGCGAGCCAGGAAACGGGATTTTTCAAGGGGAGCGGACTCCGGGGTGGATGAGCTACTTATAATCGGTGAGAGCTGGAGTGAGCGAAGTGACAACGGCCATAGAGTGCCATGCGGACGAGAGACTGCAGAGAAAAACAGAAGATCGACGCGTTCAAAGGGATTGAGTTCAGTTGTCCGTAGACCCGCAGGAACAGCCTCACCTCACACTCCGCTGAGGCGCTACCGTGACGGGTGGAGCCCGGAGGCGAAAGGTCCCGGTTGGGGTAGCGGCCAGAAAATTTCGACTTCGAGCTCATTTTTTTAAAAGTGGCAAGATCACACCAAATCCGCTAAAAACTTGTATATAGGGGTAATTCAACATCCTGATCACGAATATGACATTCATTTTTGGCGCTGGCGCTAATGGATGACACTACGGTTACCTGGCGTTCTGCTAAAGCTGAGCCCAGGAGGTAACAGTAGTGTCCTCTCTTTGGCGCCAGCGCCAAGAATGAGTGTCATACTCGTAATCAGGATGTTTTTACCCTATATACAAGTTTTTAGTGGATTTGGTGACTTAGGCAATTTGAAAATGAGCTCGAAGACGAAATTTCTGGAGTCCAAACGGCATTAGCGCTATTCCACTATACCACAATCAGAGCCCTGAGCGGTAAGAAGGACTTAGTTCGGGAAATATTTTGTTTATTATACGGCCCTTTTTGGTTTTCAACGGCACTATTAGTTGTATCAGATTTGGTTGACTTTCTTTCTCGAAATCACTTATTAAAAATTTAGGATATCTTGTCGGAGATTCAATAACCTTTGCTGATCTCTACCTGGCCGAGATGGCCACTTTCACCGATAAGTTCCCAAAGCTCTACGATGGCTTCCCAGAGGTAGACTTTTCTTTTTTTGTGCGATTGCACACTCCTCTGATCGTTTCTGAATGTGGATTCCTAGGAACTGAAGACAGAAATGATATGGGCAGGTGTGGCAAAAAATGAATTCTAGGTTGTTAATGTTAATGTATCGTAAATAAGCTTGAAATCATTGCGTGAAATCAGACGGCGCAGATTGAGCAGGGGGTGCTAGACACGGTATAGCAAGCAATACAGCGTCAATCTACCTAGAAAATAAGCGATACAACCTAGAAGTACCTCAGAATAAGTGGTACAGCTACAGTCTTTTCGCTGCAGACGGGACGTCAGGAGGGGCGTGGGTTTGGCGCGGCGCCAGTCCGTACTCCACCGATTATTAAAACGACAACGAGCAAGCGGCAAATTAGTGGAAAATGTGCTTGCACCGCTCCAAACCTTTTCCCTAACACGCCCAGCGTTTGAAGCGGAAACGCCTATGGATACGTGAGGGTTACGGTACATTAAATTAACATCCTGCTTATAATCTTGTGCAAGGATGAGGCACAGGCCCGCCCGTATGACCAAGGATTTTTCAGATGAAAGCTCATGCTGAGAAGGTCCGTTCAAATCCAAAACTGAAGAAATGGCTCGAAACTCGCCCACAGACGAATTTCTGAGTGATCAACTGGATCTCATTTCTTACAGTGTGCAATAATCTTGTCATCTGAGCACGTTTCTTACTGGTTGTCATGACTTTAGTTGTAATGAGCTTAGCAGCAATTAAGCTTTGTTGAAGTTTCTGACTGATAAATCATTACCGCCAAAAAGATTCTGTTCTCAGCATTCTGGAGCAGTGGCTGCCAACGTGATTTTCTGTCTACGGTGAAAGAACAGTTGTTGAATGGTGCAAAATGAAAATGAATGCAGTGTAAAGCCATAGGAATGGGATCCTGATTATGCCCGTTTTTCGGGCAATGGACGAGTTAGGCTGCCTTTATACTCTGCGGCAGCGTAGCGCAGCGCTTCCAGCGTACGGCCAGAATGCGGGGAGAGATGCCATCACTCGACCTCCACGCGTTCCAAGCATCACCGAGCGTGAAGCTCACGCGTCAACGCTAGCGTTACACCCAGGCTCTTCTCCATGGCGTTTCACCAGCGTTTTGCTAGCGTTTGCAGCGGCAGGGAGTAGAGACTATGGGAGAGCTGGAGGGTACAAAACACATCGATTGCGCGTCTCTGACGGCCACATAGTCTCTACATAGAAACGATTGCGCGTCCTCTCAAGGCCGTCTCTACTCCCCTGCCGCTGCAAACGCCAGCAAAACGCTGGTGAAACGCTGGAGAAACGCTGGCGTACGCTAGCGTTACGCTGGTGACGCTGGGAGCGCTAGATCGATATCCATCCTCTCCCCGGCACTGCCGCTAGCGTCTGGAAGCATAGCGCTACGCTACCGCAAAGTATAACGCAGCCTTAGCTACCACAGTCAAGGAAGAGTCAAACGACCGGCTCTCGTATTTTGTCGGCTAGACTCCAAGACATGTAGACCACATCAACGTGCGGCTATTGAACGCGAGGGGTACACCTCGTGTGACTTAGGAGAGGGTGAACCTGTTCATCACAAGTCGCTTTGACGCGCGCTCTTTGTTACCGCGCCACATACAGTGTCCATTGAAGCGAGTGGGGCGCTTGTAGCGGCGCGTTGGGAGCGCGGTCAGGACGGGCCTTAATGTTCAGCAGTGGTGTCATCCTGACTGCCACAGTATTACCTGCATGCACCTGTGCTCCCGTTGATCATCGAGTTCCTCGAGCGGGCGCCAGTAACGTCTCCATTCGTCCCTGCAACGTGCAAGAGTTGCCCAATGAACTCTCTCAGCTCGAGGGACACGATGAACTTCATACCGTTCGTTCAGAGCTTTCAGCGAAAAAGTCTGACCATCGCATAGGCGGTCGTCCAGGCGTTCGCTTGACATCCCGTGGAATCCAGTCGGTGACTGCTCTGGTCCAGCGGTCGTCCTCGAAACGCATGACGTGTCCGGCCCACCTGATCTTCGAAACCTTGGCAAATGCGGCGGCGTCTCTGATCTTCGATCGTTGGCGGAGTGCGGAGCTCCGGATTCCCTCTCACTTGCGTGTAGCGGGAAACTCCGAGCATCGCCCTTTCGATGGCGCGTTGAATAACGCCGACCGCATGCTCATCCTGCTTTCGTAGAGTCCAAGTCTCTGAGGCGTACGTCAAGGCAGGAAGGACCGCGAAGAGAGGTGGGCACGGAGCTTGGTGTTCTTCGTCTTCTTCGCTACTCCCTCGATGTTCTTGAAGGCTCCCCAAGCCGCTCGCTTCCTCCTGCTCAGCTCTGGAGCTAGGTCATTCATCATATTGATTTCACGACCTAGGTACACATAGCTAGAGCATTCAGAGATGGTCGTTCCGTTGAGCGTGAATGGGGCATCAGATACCAATCCGTTTCTCATGAACATCGTCTTCGTTAGGTTCAGCCGTAGACCGATTCTTCCACACGCGCAGTCGAATTCAGCCAGCATTCGTTCCGCTTGCTCGATGTTTGGCGTTATCAAAACGATGTCGTCAGCAAAGCGGAGATGGTGTAGTTGCCGACCGTCGATCTTCACTCCCATGTCTTCCCATTCCAGTTGACGCATGACGTTCTCGAGAGAGGCGCTGAAGAGCTTGGGCGAGATGGTGTCGCCCTGTCGGACCCCTCTCTTCACATCAATGATGATCTCCTTGTAGAATGGTGAATCTTGGTCGTGAAGTTGCTGTAGAGCTCACGAAGAATCCTGATGTACTGAGTAGGAATACCCTGGTTGCCCAGGGCTTCGATAACCGCTTCTGTCTCAACGGAGTCGAAGGCTTTCTTCAAGTCGATGAACGTGAGACATAGCGGCATCTTGTACTCTCGCGATACTTCGATGAGCTTCGTTACCGTGTGATGTGATCGATCGTGCTGAATCCTCTTCGAAACCCTGCTTGCTCGCATGGCTGTCCTTCGTCTAGTGTTCTGCCAATCCTATTCAGGATGACTCGTGTGAAGAGTTTGTAGACTGCACTCCTGACTCCGCAGTAATTAGCGAAAAATCTGCTCCGGCTGGGCCGCAAGCCCGTCCTACGAACTAGCGTTTTCTGGTAGAACGACTATACCATTTCTTTTACCTTTCTGCGAGTACCTACACTCGAAATCCCTAGGATGCGGTAGGCGTGGCTGCGTACTTCAACTAACGTGGCGGTGGCTGTGCTTTTGGTGAGATATTTTCATTTTGAAACAATTGTGGTCATGTCTCTGTCCACCATAGAACAAGATGGCAGTTGTCTCGAGTTGAAATATCCCACGAGTAACCCATCCTATGCCATGTCCAAATGCCACGCCTACCCCTACTCACGGATATGGAATATATTCACCCTGTACACTCGGTCTAAATCATACCTCCGCCTTGGAGATCGTGGGCAGACATCACTCCACAATGAAGTTCCCATGAGAGGATCAAACCAATAGAGCACACAGAATCACAATCTTTTACATCCTCAAGGTTGTGTCGCTATAAGAGTTTCGACCCCTCTCTGACTCGCCCATCAATACATAATTCGACCATAGTTCAGGCCGTCGGCCTTCTTGAAAAACCGGTAACCTGACGATCAACAGTAAACAAATAGAGCCCTTGCGGAACCTGCACAAACTACAAACTCGCCTTTTCAACCCGCCGTTTCATTCACGTTGCTGCACTTTGCGCACATTGCCCTCATTCTAATCTATGGTAGACCAGAACATATGTAGACCTTCAAATTTTGGCTTTGATTGGGAGCAGATAAATCCACTCGCCAGTCATCTCATTTTCCAATCCAAACCAGTCATATGATATGGGCACTCATGAATCAAATAACTGGTTGGCTCAACCCGGATGATCGCTACTCAACATCTCCTAGGCCATAGCACTGGCCACCTCTATTTTGCACTACCGTTCTTTTGGAGTTTTTCCTTGCATGAGAGAACCATATGATGAATCCTTGGAATGAATATTGCCAGTTGAAAGCGTGGGAAGAAGCTGTCCGGTGGGGTGGGAGGGGCTGTTTTGGCACTTCAACCATCAGGGCAGGCACTTACAACGATATCCCTCCAAGGTAAATCCCGCTTAACATGCACGTGGTCCTGCGACCATTTATTGGATCTACCGCATCTTCTGTGGTGGACTTTCCATACCCGCAACCAGGATGTTCAAGTTTTGAAACACTTTCCAGTGGCCACCCGAGAGGTGTACGTCTCCTTAGTAGATCCACTAGGAACCAGCAAAGTCCTTCGTGTCACCTAGGGTTGGGGGATTTGGGGGACGGTACTATTTTGCCCACCCTTCGTAAGTGTAAGCGCTGCTGTATGATCTTACGCAGGTATGGTCTCAACAGTGTGGTTCGTGTCGTGAGTTACCGTCCTGCTGTGAGGGAGGGCGACTGCGGGGCTTCAGGTGTGATCTTCTTGATCTCATGCTCACTTGAGAATGGTTAGCGTTGAGACTGGGCAGCTCTTGTGCTCCACGGTAAAGAAACTCTTAGACGGTCTGAAACCATCTAGGCCGTAGATCCTTTCGGTGGTCATCGGGTATAATATCATGGAGGCGCGGAGTCCGAGGTTACTGTGAAGATTTCAATGCGACCACAGGCTACTGCAAGCAGGCTTCTGGAGGCCTCTTGGATATGTGCCAAAGTCCCAAAATGAACACAGGAGAAGAAAACCATCTTGCCAACGCGAACGAGGTTGCTCCTTTTGCTGATAGTGTGTTTCAGTCTCTCTGCGGACTTAGGTTAGCCATGGTCACCAACGAGAATCGAGTTTAGCGGTAATAGGTAAACTCAACCAAAATCATGCATGCATTTTATGATAAGTCACATTTGTCCGGCTGAGTGTGATCTAGACAAAAACATTCAGGGCCTGTAGTCTAGGAAGAAGCTGTTTGTGTATTACCATGGAGGCGCGAAGTCCGAGGTTACTGTAAAGATTTCAATGCGAGAACCCAGGTTACTGCAAGCAGGCTCCCGGAGGCCTCTTGATATGTGCCAAAAGTCCCAAAATGAACACAGGAGAAGAATGCCATCTTGCCAACGCAAACGAGGTTGCTCCTTCTGCTGATAATGTGGCCTTCGGTCTCTATCTGCTTCAGCGGGGCTAGGTTAGCCGATGTCACCCACGGGAATCAGTTTAGCGGTGGTCTCAACCAAAATCTGCAGTGCATTTTAGATGAGTCACATTGCGGCTGTGATCTAGACAACATTCTGGGCCTGTAGTCTAGGAAGAGCTGTTCTGAAGTTTGAAGTGATATTCGGGGGTAGTTCACACTGATCTTTGACTTTCCAGGCTCTGACGAAGGCGATAACGCCGAAACGTAAGCCGAATGAAAATCGTTGTATCACCTTGATCGGTGAATCCGTACCATTTGCTTGCATGACGAAACAGAACCACTTCATACCTTGGGTAAATGTGCATGAGGGGGCTGTACAGCGGCCCGATATTATGCGGAGGTTATGGAAGGGTGCTAGTTCGCTACCGATGAACACCGTTGTTCGGGTAGAAATTAGGGACCTTCTTTTACTTAGTCGTTCTCGACGGTTTTTTTTCTGCTCTTTCCTTCAGCATCAATGTAATCTAAATTCTTCGGCGAGTTTTACGCGGGTTTTGG